ACTAACTTAAGTTTCAGAAAAATTTTACAGTCAAAATATAGTGAAATCTTAGTCAGATGATGAATGAGTCAGAAAATAAAAGATGAGTCAAAGGATTCAAGTCCAAAGAAGGGTTGTATGAACATTAACATCTGCAAAATTAAAACTTCTGGAAAATGCTGGTTTATATTGGAGCACCAAAACACATTTTGCATTTAAAGTTTAGGAGACAACCTAGGGTAAAGGAAAATTCAGCCTAAATTCAGTGTGCTATGTCAGTCTGAGGAATAATGGGTCTAAGTTCCCTTTTTATAGGAAATTTTGGTCTTATGTTTGAGGGAGATCAACTCACCATGAGTAGTGACAGCAGGGCATGGCTGACTTTCTAACAAGCTGTGTAGAGGGCAGAACAGCTTTTTTGCCATTCATCCTGTGGGAACAGAGCAAGGATCTGTCCAAACCCAATACCTGCAGCCGTGGGTCTGTGTGCTCTGAAGGCAGGGGTTGAATGAGCAGCTGCGTCCCAGGGGGTGGGACAAAATGAGATTTAAGGTCCCTCTGTCCTGTCTTGTAAGATAAGCATGGATTCTATTGCCATCTGTTGGAGGTGGGGCAGTTTTCTTATCTCTCCCAAGAACAATGTTTCCCTCCGGGGAGATATCTTCTGTTAATGGGCCATTAATGACTCACTGCATGACCTGTAAAGTTACATCATCCCATTGTGAGATGCTCCACCCAGAGGGAGGAGCCAAGCACCCCTACCTGCATAAAATCAGCATTTTTGGGACACCAGAGCAGTGCTTTGCTGGATTCCCAGAGGAGCAGCTTTCTTCTCTGCTGGATCCCCAGAGGAAGACCAGGCCCACCTACTCCATCACCAGAACTTCAGAGAAAACTCCACCCTTCTCCAGATCCCCGCTCCAGCAGCATTCCATCTGCCACTGCAGGAGGAGCAGCCACCATTTAACAGGACTGTTACCAACACCCTGACTCCTCAGGGTGTCACGTTTCTAACTCCATCACTAGTTTTGTTTGTATTCATCACTTTTTTTTTTTTTTTCAGCTTTTTCCTAGTAAATAACTGTTGTTCCCATTCCCATATCTTTGCCTGAGAGCCTTTTAATTTTGAAATTATGGTAATTCACAGGGAGGGGGGTTTACCTTTTGCATTTCAAAGGAGGCTTTTGCCTTCCTTCACAGACTCCTGTCTTTTCAAACCATGACACCCTCCCAACCCAAAAGACTTGTAGATCAATGATTCCATGAAACAGAATTATAGAAAGTGAAAATATTGCCCTAAAAGGATGAGTTCAATGGGTAATGTTTTTAAGTGTATGGAAATGAGAGGTGATAAACCAAGAAAACAGGCTGCAGATTGAATGTATAAAGCATTTGAAGTTCAGCCAGAACACTAATTATGAGCTCCAGCAAATGCTGGTTGTCTGTACTGTTGAATAGTCTCCATTATTTTTATTAGAGATGATATCACCAAGTTTATGTGTAATTGTTTGGTTTTCAAAATTACTGGCTAAATGTGTATTTCTTGCAACTCATCAAAGCATTAATGCTAACATTTGTTCATGGGTGCATCTCTTCTATTATTGTAGATAAAGGCAGAGCGAAATGTTTATTTTGCCTTTCCTACAGCCAGTAAGACCATTTACAAAATGTGCTACATTTCCTGTTCCAAAGCATCTGTATTAAAAAGCAATTAAAAATTAAATTCTCTATAAGCAACATAACTAATTATGCCTAGTTTTCTACATGTGTTGTGGGGCCTTTTTTTTTAATCTGAAAAAATTAGCTGCAATGTCTCCGTGACAGTCCAACCAAGAAAATATCTGTCCTCCACTATAAAGCCAGGCTACAGCACCATGAGGTCACCACCTCCTCACAATTTATCCTATTTCTGCTCTATACCACAATATTTCAATCTCCTTTAAATGAGTTTATGTCCTCCCTTTACATTTCTCAGTCTTTGATGATATTTCTGGTTATTTTTTGTGGCCCTGCAAGTAAAAGGAGCCTCTGATCATACTGCTTCCCTTGAGAGAATCTCCAATTTTAGTTTTATTTCTTTTTATTTTTTATTTATTTTAATTGTTTTTAAAATTTATTTTATTTTTAATTTAATTTGTTTTGTTGTTTTTGTTTTTGTTTTTTTATGGAGAAAGACCTCCTCACCCCTGTAGTTTGATTATTCTGCACTTTGTCACCAGTGAAAGCACCTGCTGTCTAAATTGTGTGTTTTCTTCCTGTCCATGGAGAGACAAAACTCTCTTATTTGCTAACTTATCTTCCCAATGTTTTGGGACATGTAAACATCTAGACTCTAGAAGTTATTTCAAATAGTTGAAATGAGCAGTCCTGAAGTTACTGTGGGAGTAGGGGGATCCAGAAATCTCACATCAAATGGGAAAATGGGGTAAGAAATGTGCATCAAAAGAATACCAAAAAAGTCATTTTGCTGAAAAAAAAAAACAAACCAAAAAAACAAAGCCAAAATAAAATTATGAAATTAAAACAATAAATACAGAAACCTATGAAAAAAAACTATCAAACCAATAAAAATCCCTCAAAAAAAAAAATACAAAAAACCCCAGAACCACTCAAAAACCCTAAAGGAGTGAAGAATTTTGGAGGAAGAAGAGAAAAACTTTGGATGACTTCTGGGTAGGGCTTGCTGCCATTCAACTCCAGATTCTCTAAAATTTAACAGAGGAATTGTGTGTTTGCAATCCAAATTGAATATGTTAAAGCAAGTGATTATTTTTTTTATCCAAAAATTGAAAGGAATTTTTTATTCAGATCATCATTGATATGTTATTCATATCAAAGTATTTACAATATTATGTGAACTGGGCAGATGCAGCGAATTTCCTTCGTGCAGTTCACAGTGGGGCAGCTCAGCTCTGGGAGTCTAACATGGATCAGGTACATGTGCAATTTTTACTCACTGTGATGAGTTTCATATAATCTTGGTGTATAGGGTGTATTTGTTGACATTATAACCACAGAACCAAATAAGATTCAAATCCCAGGATATCTGGGGTTGGGAGGGGTGTTTGGAGATGATCTGGTCCATCCCTTCCTTTGTCCCCCAGCAGCACCCCCAGTTCCCCCCTGGGCTGTGCTGGCCCTGGGGCAGGAATGTTGGGTTTGTCTCCACCCAACTCTTCCCAGCTCTCTCTGAATGCCAGCTTAGCCTCTGAAACATAAATTTTAAGCAATTTAGATATTTTAGAGGAGCTAAAATTTTAGTTAGAGATAAGCCTTACAGGAGTTAATGAAATTAAATTAGTAGGCCTTGATGAAGTTAAGAGTTAGTAGTTAATTAATAATCGATTGCTTGTCAGCACAATGTTTAGTTAGCTGGGTTTATAATGAAGAATATAAACTGATAAATTGCTTTTAGGAACATAAGACAATTGTGGGCCTCTTCTGTTCTGAAACCAACTGAAGACAAGGAATGGGAGTTCTACCAAGAGTTCATTTGTCATATTTGCATTGAAAAGGTAGAAAGGTCAGAATGAGGAAGACTTCATTTACTTCCTCATTTTGGGACCACTCCCCATGAAAGGGACACCAACCCATTTCAAGGAACAAACCACACATGCTGAATGGCTTTTGAAATTATTAGCATGCAAAGCAAGGAATGGGATGTACCAAAGTTATGAATATGTATTTGTATTTTGGGTATTCAACACTTGTATGGATAAAAGGGCTCTGTAATCACCTGGAAGCCGCGGTGTGGATTTGGGAGCGATCCCACACACAATAAACACAATAAACACACACTTTCTGATTTTAAACTGTTAGAGAGTTTTTGTCCGTCACAGTTGGATATCGGTACTAGATCAATATCCATATTTTTTAATAAACCACCTCCAGGTGGATCAGGCACTCCTTCAGCTCTGCATCACCAGACACAATCAGATAAACAGGAAAAAAAATAAAAATAAAAACTCCCTACAGGACTGGTGGGTTGGGGGCACTCATTTGGTCTACAGGGCCTTTAGTTGCCAGAAGCAGGAGTGATGTGTGAGACAGCAAATAACATTGGGCATGGAAGCACAACTCTTCCCTATCCAACTGATAAAATGTGACTTTTCTTCAGGCTCAAAGGCCATAATTTCTTTTTCTTTCTTTCTTTCTTTCTTTTTTTTTTTTTTTATCTTTCAGACACAATATTCTTGTATTACTTGGCAGACTGCGAAAGTGAATTTAAACCTTGTCAGTGCTGAAGAAGCTGTTTAGGCACAGAGAAAATTCTGTGTGTAAATGGGTCATTCTTAGCTGCATGCATAAGTATGGTTGGAAAACTGAATTTCAGTCACCAACTTTTCAAAGTTTAATGAACAAAATTTTGTTTCAAAAAGTATCTTTGGGGGCTCTTAGCATTGTCTGTATTTTTTTTCTTCTTTTCTATCCCATAATGAAAAAAAAGGATTTTGAGAATTAGTATTGTTCTTCTCCAGCTGCAGTGCTCCAATATTGCCAATTTGATTATCAAAGCTACAAATTCTTACTACTTAATAGGTTTTATAGACCATTACAATTCTGGTGAATGAATTTACCAGATTTACCTAATATGCAAGATACTGAAATATTTGATTACTTTTTTAAAAAAATACAGAAAGAACCCAAACCAAAAAAAAACAAAACCAAACAAACAAACAAAAAACAGAAAAATGAAACAAAAACAAAAAAAACCTTGTCAAGTAATAAACTTCCATATTATATCCATATATAATTTACAACTGAATTTTATAGCAGTAATTAATCTTTTCTATTTAGCTGACTGGAACCAAAGGAGATGAAAGAAAAAAACTACCTTTGTGAAAGTAATAATTCTTGAGTACATTTAAGAATTAAACATATACAGAAACATCCTTTATCATAAAGAAAATATTTAAATGGGAAGCTTTATCAGATTGAGAGAAATGTCTAATGAAAATGGCTTTTTAAAGTGTTCTTGCTTAAGAGACAAAACTCCCAATTTTAAGCAATAAAGTTTTTTATGTGACAGAACCACCAATCAGGCAGCAATTCAGGATATGCGAAGGGAATAAATGGACAGGAAAATGTACAAACCTAACAAAAAAGAAAAATACTTATGTGTATACTTATATATTTCAATGCTATTAAAATTTGTACACATTCTTAAAAACATGTAGTGGTAATGCACTGTAAATTCTGTTGAATTATATGTCAGTGTGCCCCATGACTATGGTGTCATAAACATTATCTGTTCTACATTCCTTTACTTAAATACATGGTGGTTCTCTGAGTTTCTCTATTTCCATTAGAGGACTAATAATACTAATACTACTAATAATAATGGTTTATTGGTTTTATTCTTGTTGGAGGAGATTTTTGTGGTGGTGGTTGCTGTTATTACTCTTGTATTATTAAAATGGATTGCTAAAGCAGTACTGCAGCACCCTCCTCCTCCTCCAGGGAGAGACATCCTGATTTTGAACCCAAAAAGAAAAAAAACCAAAAAGAGATTATATTGCTGGTTCTCTGGGGCCTGCACAATCCTCCTGTGAGAACACAAATGTCATTTTGAAGGAGATTTTAACTCAGACAACCCAAGTTATGCTCAATTTTTTTATTTCCCCAGACCCCTATCCTACACAATTACAACACAAAAAGAATTGAGTGCACTGATCTTACTTTGTCACAAAAAATCATGTTTGTTTTTACTTTTTTCACTTTGTTCCTCCACAGCACTTTGTGGTTCTGGCTCTAGTCTTAAGCTGTAAATTCCCTGGGGAAGGGACTGGTGCTGCTGCACCCCAGCCTGTTCAGCAGCTGCCTGGAAAATCTGCTCTGATTGTCAATCGAGATGAAACCAGAAGAGACAAAATGAAGATTTCTCAAAATTATAATGAGAACCAGAGCACTCATTGGAAAAGTAGATTCCCTGAGGGGAAGGAAATAGTCAAGATATTTAATTGATGTACCAGAGAGGCGGATAAAGCAGCTGTGTTGCTTGAATCAGAATGCAGGTCGAAATCTCAGCATCTTGTGTCAAGCAAGTTTTCTGACTGCTGTACCACGAACAACCTGAAAAGGAAAGAGGATTCTTGTGTCTTCTTTAGATGAGTATGCCCTTTTCCATCTTGGGGAAAAATGTTCTGCCAATCATGAAAAATATTACCTTTCAGAAATGTAACTGGATCTAGCACATCTCCTTCCCTCAATCTTTTTTTTTCTTTCCTTTGCTTGTTTTTATTTTTTTGTGGTGATGTGATGAATGTCAATTTCTAACACACATTTTTAGCTCTTAACCTGAAGAAGGTAACAGTAAGAACAACAAAACCAATCAAACACCTTAAAAACCTCAACCAATCCAAGAACACTTAAGAATAACTTTATATGGCAAACATTCTTTGTCATGTGTTGAGGCAGGATGGCTCTGTCAGCTCACTGCAGCGGCATAAAATTGTTTCTAAAATCTCTCACATTGTCAAATTCTGACACGAATTATCTACAAACTGTCACACTGGACTGACAGATATCAGAAGATTGAAGAAACCATGTTGGTTAGTTGTCTTGATTGATACAGAACTAATAACTTAAATCTTTCATGTGTATGTGATGTTGATTTGAAATGCATCCCAGGATGAGAAACTAAGAGCCAAAAGTCTCTTGGCTCTAATAATACTCTCTGATTTGGAAATCACAAGATCTTTGGCAAAGTCTGCAGTTAAATGCCTGAAATGCAGGTGGCACCATGCTCTTAAATACTTTATAGTGATTTAACTCACCTCAGTTCTGAAATTCTGTGTGAATGAGCTGCTAAAGTAATGGTGCAATATGAGCACTGAAAGTAAGACAAAGTAATTTCTAAAATTATATTTGAAATCTTATTTTTTTCCCTCAGAGTAAAATAAATTAACACACACAAAAAAAAAACCCAAAAAACCCAAAAAAAACCAACAACAAAAAAAAAACCAAACAAAAAAAACCCCAAAACTCTTGCTATTATTTACTGCAGAGATCTGCAAAAGCACACTTCAGACACACAAAAACTCCTTAGAGTTTAAATGGTTGAAGTATATTCTTGCTAACACGAAAATATGTTTTGTAGGTGTCTGAAATGAACTCTTTCACCAAGTTCATTCATGGAGTTCTCCTTGAAAACCTAGTATAAATGACAGTAGGATAAAGACCTTGGTGCAACACATTTAAATTTGCAAAACAGCAACTTCAGCACAAAAACGCAAACAGCACCTTGGTTGTTACAAATTTAACGTATCCCCCAAAGAGCTGTGCTTGGAATTTTAGCAGCTTCCAGCACAGCCCTTGTGGGGTTTGTAGAAATTCAGCTTGATTCAGTTGAGTGTTGGCCAAAGCAGGGAACTCCGATTTCTGGGTCTGCAATATTTACTACATGAGAGGGGATAATTCCACCTTCAGGGAATCCTTCAGTGCACCTGGATCACTGGGCTGCACTTCAGGGATGTTCCTTCAAGGATTTAGGGTGCAAATAGTGATTTTGAGGCATGAGAGGCAAGGCCAGCTTTGCTGGAGATCTCAAAGAGCTGTTGGCAGCTGTGCAGAAGGCTGTAAATGACACAAAACTCCCATTAATGATGGAGATTTGACTTTCTTATAAAAGGGAGCAGAAACAATTCAGAAAGAGGGGCAGAATGAGCTGTACTAACACAAAGCAAGCATGTGCAAGTGGAAAATTAGGAATTGTGGACCAGTGGAAACAAACTTGAGAAAAAGAGAAGTGTGTGTTAGCTTGGTTTTATAAGGAACTGAGGGCTGTTCAGTCAGATAATCTCTCTTCCAGTGGCTGATTTCCTTTAAGTACATGTATTTGAAGCTGGAAGAGGTGCACAGGCTACCAAGGGCATGGGAATGTGATACCTGAGCTGCCAGTCAGAGTCCTCCTCACTATGGAGTGGGATGGCGTTTTCAAAAACATATAAACTGAAAAGAGAGGGGTGAAGCAGCACCCCTCACATGGATGCTCTTGATGCCCAACAGGTACCCTCTGAATTTTCCTGGGAACAGCCATCTCACAGCATCACCACCAGCTGGGGCAGGGTCCTGAGCAGAAATCTGTTCCCGTGTCAGAAGGTCTTCTCAAACTGACAGATTTAGATGGGATTTTGGGGAGGAATTGTTCCCTGGCAGGGCGGGCCAGGCTGGACACTGGGGTCTGGAGCAGCTGGGACAGTGGGAAGGTGTCCCTGCCATGGCAGGGGTGGCACTGGGTGACATTAAAGGTTCTTTTCCAACACATTTCGTGCTTCTATGACTCTATAACCCACTGTCTGCAGCTTGCTGCAAGTGTCACTTCATCGGGGCAGAACTTTGCCTTCTTTACCTTACCTGATGACTCCTCAGGCAGAGCAGTGACATTAATCTCTAACTCAGGATTTCCTGCTGTCTGCAGAGAGTGGGAGAACCACATGGCACTGGTGCTGAGCTGTCTGCAGAGGCACTGAACAGACACACTTGCACGAAGCACTCAGCTTCCACACACCTTAATCCTGCTGAAAGAAACACTGTGAATCCAAATTATTTTCACAAGCAGGCAAGGAATAATTCCAACTGAAATTAATCTGTTTCTCAACTTCAGGGGTGTGCAGAAGGCTTTCCAGCACGAAACACAGGAGTGCCTCATGTCAGGGGTGTGCTCACACCTTATCCTCTCCTCTCCTCTCCTCTCCTCTCCTCTCCTCTCCTCTCCTCTCCTCTCCTCTCCTCTCCTCTCCTCTCCTCTCCTCTCCTCTCCTCTCCTCTCCTCTCCTCTCCTCTCCTCTCCTCTCCTCTCCTCTCCTCTCCTCTCCTCTCCTCTCCTCTCCTCTCCTCTCCTCTCCTCTCCTCTCCTCTCCTCTCCTCTCCTCTCCTCTCCTCTCCTCTCCTCTCCTCTCCTCTCCTCTCCTCTCCTCTCCTCTCCTCTCCTCTCCTCTCCTCTCCTCTCCTCTCCTCTCCTCTCCTCTCCTCTCCTCTCCTCTCCTCTCCTCTCCTCTCCTCTCCTCTCCTCTCCTCTCCTCTCCTCTCCTCTCCTCTCCTCTCCTCTCCTCTCCTCTCCTCTCCTCTCCTCTCCTCTCCTCTCCTCTCCTCTCCTCTCCTCTCCTCTCCTCTCCTCTCCTCTCCTCTCCTCTCCTCTCCTCTTCTCTCCTCTCCTCTCCTCTCCGTTCTTGTGTGCTTCACACATTCTCATTTTGTGAGGAAAAGGATTAATTTTAAAACATACTCAGGTATTTCGACAGGATTCTTTAATACTATCCTCTGTAGGCAGTAAATCTTATTTCCAAAAATAAAAGAAAAGTAATCCAACCCAACTATGACTTTGTTGGTTCCTTCCTATAAATAGTCAAAAAGAAAAGGAAAAAAAAAACCTCTGTATTGAAAAAGACTAAAAGAAAAATGTGCTGGGTTTTTTTGTTTGTTTGTTTTGGTTTTTTTAATGGAGTTTGAGTGTTCCCCTGTGTTGCACAGCTACTTCTCCCCCTTTCCTGTGATGGAGCGTAACATGACAATGCTTTTGAACCAGAGAACCAGAGAGATTTGAGGGAAACAGGATCTTCCACAAAGCCCATGTTGACTTAATGGGAAACCTCACATGTTCAAGAATTGGGGGATCAGGCTGTGCTTGGGAAGAGATGAAAGAACCAACTGTTCCCTTTTTTTAGAGGCAGTGTCAACCCCAGGAATAATCCTGGCGGTGCTGCTGTGGTGGTGACAGACAGATGTATTATCTCTTCTCTCCTTGAGTCAAGCACACACAGATGACTTGCAGAATCAGAGCAGCCGGTTACGCTGAACGGCGTCTGACAAATCCCCGAAGAACAAAGTACATATTACTAGGGGAAAAAAAAAATAAAATAAAAGGAAAGTTCTGCTGCGTGCAGCAGAGGCTTTTTATAGCCCTAATTATAACAGAGGTGGCAATATAAATCTGTGCCTGTGCAGTGTGGGAGTGTCCTGGTCTCTGGCTCTAAGGAGGTTCTGATCTGTGATGGGAGCTGGTGATAAAGCTAATCTCCTCCACAAAGCCGTATCCAAGCTACCCTAAAGGGGTCACAGGGTAATTGGCACTCACGTTGTCTGGATGACATCTAAAATTGGCAAGAGGTTGGCAAACAGGAAGGATCAGCTCTTGTTCTCCTACTTCTACAGCACAGGTGGGAGTAACTTGGTTCACCTTTCCTGCAACAAATGCTAGACCTGATGTCACTGCTAAACACACTGGCCATTATTCTTCTCTTATGCCAAAATCATCTTCATGTTATACATTCAGACTTGCTGTCACTCTTCCTTTACTGATGGCTCTTTACCTAAGGACAATGTGGCTGCCTACATTTCTACAGGCTACAATTTTAATTTTTTTTCCCTGTTTAATGTACTGAAGGACTTCAAAGGGTTAATTGGAGCAAGAAAGGAAATAATGCTGGAAATGTAAGCTCCTAATTAAAGTAAGATGGAGGAAAACAGCGAGGACATTACCAGACATGGATTAGCTCTTTCCCAGTTTGCTTGGTTTTGTTTTTTATTTTTTTCCCTTGGAATTTCAGCAGTTGATTTGTCTCTCCACTCTACCTCTTCTATTCCAGAAGGTCTACAGGAATCTTTAGCCTAAGGGAGGGATGTTGCAGGTCCAGGCAGTCTCCATGTCTGGAAATCCTATTAGGCAGAAAATTCTGAAAAACTGAGCTGATCATTTGGATGGATAAACATAAAAAAAAAAAAATGGATGCAAGAGAGTTCTTGATCCTGAGTGACTGATAAACAAATAAAATATGTATTTGTGAGTTAGACTGCAGCTAAGTAAAATTAAGCAGGAAATTATCCAGAAGTGTAGGAACAGTCTGGAAAGTGAAAAGTGGTCTTTGAGTTCTATGGGTGGCAGAAAAAGGAAGACAGAAATATTAGGGATTAATATCTGGCAGTTCTTGAGCCCATTTCTCTCTTAATCTCCAAACCACAAAGCATATAATGAATCCACATGACAGGAGGAAGAGTTTTGCCTTGGGGGTAAATATCAAAATACAAACATAAAAATGTGATTTTATACATTATGTATTTATATTAATATAAATTTTATTTAATATATAAAAGGTAGAACATCAGCTTGAGCTGCAATGGCTTGTGACTTCCCAGTCCCATCCCACCCATGTTTCAGCAAAGAGCCTTCACCGCTGAGATGACAGGAAAGATTGGCAAGAATGTAACCCAAAAAAGGAAAAGAGGACCCTTCAGGATGGCTTTAAGGTCCTAGGGTTTCCCACACAGAATTGATGTTTGCATACCTATAGTACTTTCAGAGTCAGAAGGCAGGATTTGCTGATGTCAACGAGGCAGCTGCTTCAAGAGACACAAAAATGGCAAAAAAAAATTAATAATTTCTGTACCTTGGGGGACATTGAAGGATACCAGGTTAGACTCTTCATGGAGAAGGTGAGGTCAGGGATAAGTCACCGTAGGAGGGGAGTGCTACGAGATGCTGCAACCACAACAACCCCAATGACAGCAGGGTGAGACCATAGCACAACAGCAGAGCAGCTCTTGGGTAAAACCCAGCATGAAGCAGTAAACAGCAGAGCCTGGATTCAGAAAATCCATACTAAGAACACCCGGATGTCAGAACTCAAAATATCCCTCAGACATTTTTGGATGTTCTGGGCCCAGGTCAGAAGCATTTGAGACCCTGGCAGGCAGCTGGAAACAGCTGTGATTTTGGGTTTGAGCCATGGAATGATTTACCAACCTTGCAGGAAGAACAAGAAGTCACAAAATTTAGATATTACAGTAGAAGTAGTCACAAAGTAGAGGGAAGAATTTTTGAGTGCTGTACAGGGGGTTTTGGTTTTGTACACGGGGTCAGAGGTTTTAAGATGGAGGGATTTGGGCCTGCCATGTCCTCCCTCTTTCTTCTTCCTCACCTCCATGTTCTTGGTGATGTTGGCACTCACAGATTGGTTTAGAGTAGAAAAGCACCATTTAATATAGGTAATAGGCATTGGGGAAAAACTGTAACCATGTAACATGTAATGTACCATATAAAAGACAGCAGCAGCCCTGGGCGGGGAGAGAAGAAGAAGAAGAAGAAGAAGACGAAGAAGAAGACGAAGAAGAAGACGAAGAAGAAGACGAAGAAGATGAAGACGAAGAAGAAGAAGAAGAAGACGAAGAAGAAGAAGAAGAAGACGAAGAAGAAGAAGACGAAGAAGAAGAAGAAGAAGAAGAAGACGAAGAAGAAGAAGAAGAAGAAGAAGAAGAAGAAGAAGAAGAAGAAGAAGACGAAGAAGAAGACAAAGAAGAAGAAGAAGAAGACGAAGAAGACGAAGAAGAAGAAGACGAAGAAGACGAAGAAGACGAAGAAGAAGAAGAAGAAGAAGAAGACGAAGAAGACGAAGAAGACGAAGAAGACGAAGAAGACGAAGAAGAAGAAGAAGAAGAAGAAGAAGAAGAAGAAGAAGAAGAAGAAGAAGAAGAAGTCAGGAGTCAGAGAGGATGTCAGGGTGTGTGTGTGCCTCTGCCTGAGCTGTGAGCAAACCACAGCAGCCCAAGGAGAAAATCTTTTAGATAACTTGCAATCAACTGCCTTGAGACCGAACAACAGAGACTGCTGAGCCTTTCTTTGGAAACTCGGCTTGGAGGAGAGACTTTTCCACCACATGGAGCCACCCCTGACCCAGGCTGAGCTCCAGCACCTGGATGCAGGTGGTTGCTGCCTTTTGGCTGGAAGGAGCAGCCTGCACCTCGGAGCTGGAGTTGTGCTGCCCTGTGCTAAGGGGAGAAACTGGGGTACAAGGAAGGGGCTGGATGAAGGGATCTCCTGCAGCACCCCCCCCAATCCTGGGTCATCCCTAAAACGTAGGGAAGCAAGCAGGAGGAAGCAGCACAGGAGGAGCAGTCCAGCAGAGAGGGGCAGCAAAAAAAATCTGATTACTCTGAGGTGGGAAGATAGGTTTTATTGAATAAAACTTATTGAGAACCTGAAAACAAAAAGGCGCTGCACTTTAGGTAGAAACCAGGCAGAAAAGCCTTTTGTTGTTTCATCCCTTTTGGCTGAATAAACAATGCCTGGCTTTGAAGAAGCTATTTATTTGTCATTTTAATCAGCTGCTAGTCACAGGATCTCAGTGGAAAAAGGCCTCATGCTACCGAGTGTAGTTAGTCCCTTTAGATTTATCCTAATTGGGGAAATAAAGGGGCTGCATTACGGGATTATTCCCTCAAGAAAAATAATTTAAAAAAAAAAAAAATCACAGGCAAGACTGCCACTTGGGGGTGCAGGCATGCTGGGCTGCCACAGCAGCTACAGTGCAGCTCTCCTTGTAATTGTGACAGCTGGATTCTTGCTTGTAAAACAGAGATAAGCAGTAAAATTAGCACCGTTGTAGAGAAATGATGCATTAATATCAGAAGCTTTGTTAAGGCTCCCTAAATTTCCACTATGTCTTTATTGACAGCAAAGCAACTCTTGGGGAGAAGGAGAAGTATTTTCTTTCCAGGCAGTGGTTCTTCAGGGAGATCTCTGGCGTGGAGACTGATGTATAAAATCCAAGTTGCTGTGGAGGTGGTGATGCAATCGCAGGGATACCTGTGCAGCTCAATGAAGGCGTGGCAGACGCACACCTGAGTGCTGCCAGGTGAGATGTGCTGGTGCACCTTATAGTGAGGGCAGGAAAAAGTTTTGGTGGGTGCTACCAAGCTCCCACATTACACTGGAGTACAGCTCATGATAAGACATATTTTCTGCTGCTGTGGGCTAAATTAATGTTGGGAGATTGTTTTGTTTTTTTTCTTTATCTGTCCTAGCCTGCTGGATAACTCTGCACCGCCCTGGGTGCCCTGCTGTGATGGGTGAAGTGCATACCTGACGTGGGCACCACTGAGCTGTGTGCAAGCAGAAAAAAACACGAGATTATGGGTGTCAAATGCTCTTTATCAAGGCGCGTCATTGCTGTTGGCTTTGTAGTTTAACCAGCGCAAAGAAGCCTCGTCCTTTCAAATCTTTGCTGACAATGTAAAGGGCTGAAACCAAAACACTTCCAGTGTCAAAGAAAAATGTGATTAATTGCGAGCTCAGATGTAAAACCAGAGCTTTAGGCAAGGGCTGTCACCCTGTCACCGGCAGGAATTTAATGGCAGACAAAGGGCTTGCAAAAGGAAATGCTGTAACTACCGCGAGGTGCCAGCCAAAGTAACCAAGAGATCAGACGACTTAACGGGTCGTTTCCACTCCTAATTTCACGATGTCTCTTCTTGTTGTCATGCAAGCAGCCCGGACTTTCAGGTTGTATCTGCAGAAATGCTTCTCAACAGAGTAGAGCTGTTCAGTGCATCCTTCTCACTCGGCAAGTGCATTAAAGCTTAATATAATATTTATATGTGGTCTTTCACCATGAAGGCATGTAGATGGGATGCAAATTACAGATATAAAATATCTGAAGAGCCTTCTGAAGCCCAATAGGAAATTAGTACTTTTTTCACTCTCGTGGCTCTATATACCCAGGTAGGGAAAAGAGATGGAAAAAAAAAAAAAAAAAAAAAAAAAAAAAAAAAAGTATGTAGTGGTCTGACGTGAGATCTTCCTACCCTCTACCTTGGGCTGTTCTGCTTCTGGAATATCGCCTCATCTTTCATTCTTGCTTTGACTCTCTTCCAGTTTTGGGCAGGACGGCATCCTACCTGAGGAGGGAGGGAGGTGGAAAGAACGGACCTTTGCATCTCCTGGTCTGGTAGAAGTTGTCCCTGCCCATGGCGTGGGCGTTGGGATGCGGTGAGCTCTGAAGTCCTTTCCAACCCAAACCATGCCATAATCCTGTGATTCTGTGCCAATTCCCTCTGTGGATGTTCAGGAGGGATTTTAAACCGAGGCAGCGCTCGGCAGGGCGCAGGGCTTGGACAGCATCTACAAGACAGAAGTTTGTGGAGGGCAAAATTCCTCCGCGGAGGGGAAAAAACACCTTCGTGAACAGCATCCCCTTCCTGATAAACGAGGGCAGGCACAGCCCCCCACCCCCCAAAACCAAACCATCCCAGGACATGCGATTTGCCGCGGGAGGAAAACCCCGGCCACGCACACCGCAGCGCTGGGGAAGCATCCCCGGCATCATCCCGCGGGGTCCCGGCCGTGTGCGGGAATTCCATCCCGCACCGCGGGGTCCCGGCCGTGTGCGGATCTCCATCCCGCACTCCCGGCCATGTGCGGGAATTCCATCCCACACCGCGGGGTCCCGGCCATGTGCGGATCTCCATCCCGCACCCTCCGCACCGCGGGGTCCCGGCCGTGTGCGGGAATTCCATCCCGCACCGCGGGGTCCCGGCTGTGTGCGGGAATTCCATCCCGCACCGCGGGGTCCCGGCCATGTGCGGATCTCCATCCCGCACCCTCCGCACCGCGGGTCCCGGCCCTGTGCAGGAATTCCATCCCGCACCGCGGGGTCCCGGCCATGTGCGGGAATTCCATCCCGCACCGCGGGGTCCCGGCCATGTGCGGATCTCCATCCCGCACTCCCGGCCATGTGCGGGAATTCCATCCCGCACCGCGGGGTCCCGACCATGTGCGGATCTCCATCCCGCACCGCGGGGTCCCGGCTGTGTGCGGGAATTCCGTCCCGCACCCTGCACACCGCGGGGTCCCGGATGTGTGCGGGAGCTCCATCCCGCACCGCGGGGTCCCGGCCCCTTGCGGATCTCCATCCCGCACCCTCCGCACCGTGGGGTCCCGGCCATGTGCGGATCTCCATCCCGCACCCTCCGCACCGCGGGGCCCCGGCCATGTGCGGATCTCCATCCCGCACCCTCCGCACCGCGGGGTCCCGGCCATGTGTGGAACTCCATCCCGCACCGCGGGGTCCCGGCCATGTGCGGGAATTCCATCCCGCATCCTGCACACCGCGGGGTCCCGGCCATGTGCGGATCTCCATCCCGCACCCTGCACACCGCGGGGTCCCGACCATGTGCGGGAATTCCATCCCACACTGCGGGGTCCCGGCCGTGTGCGGATCTCCATCCCGCACCGCGGGGTCCCGGCCGTGTGCGGGAATTCCATCCCGCACCGCGGGGTCCCGGCCATGTGCGGATCTCCATCCCGCACCGCGGGGTCCCGGCCATGTGCGGATCTCCATCCCGCACCCTCCGCACCGCGGGGCCCCGGCCATGTGCGGGATTCCATCCCACACTGCGGGGTCCCGGCCATGTGCGGGAATTCCATCCCGCACCGCGGGGTCCCGGCCTTGTGCGGGAATTCCATCCCACACCGCGGAGTTCCGACCGTGTGCGGATCTCCATCCCGCACTCCCGGCCATGTGCGGGAATTCCATCCCGCACCGCGGGGTCTCGGCCATGTGCGGATCTCCATCCCGCACCCTCCGCACCGCGGCGGGCGTGGCCGGGGTGTGTCCAGCGGCACCGCCCCCGCGATCCGCGCGGGGCGGGCAGGGCAGCGGCGGCAGGAGGAGGAGGAGGAGGAGGAGGAGGAGGAGGAAGGCAGAGAGGAGAAAGAGGGGGAGGAGAGGCGGCGGCCGGGCCATGCTGGAGGCGCGGCGGCACCTGGCGGGCGCGCAGAGCGGGCGGGCGGCGGGACGGGCTCCGCGCCGCGCGTAGGGCGGTGGCAGCGGAGCGGAGGAGGCTGCGCTCGGCCGGGAGGCGCTCCGCGGGAGGGACCTGCGCATCCTCGCCGCGCCTCGCATCGCCTCGGCGGGCGGAGGCACCGCCAGCGCCCGCCGCTCGCATCCCTCGGCTGAGGCGGAGGAGAGCAGGAGAAGCAGCAGGAGGAGGAGGAGGAGGATGAGCCGCGCGGTGCTGGCCTGGCTGGCGCTCTGCGGGAGCCTGGCGGCGCCGCGCCCCGCCCGAGGTGAGGGACGGACGGACGGACGGACGGACGGACGGGGACGGGGGTCGGGGTCGCGCCGGAGCTCCCGCAAAGTCGGAGTCCAAGTGCGCGGGGGACCGGGGAGGTGGCTCCCAGCAGGGTGCCGCTGTCTGGGATCTCGTTTCCTCATTAACCATAAAGAAAGAAAAAAAAAAATAATAATACTTATCTCTGCGTTTGAAATAGAAGCCGGCGGATGATCCATCCTCAGACTCTTTCTGTTTTGAAACTGTGTTTAATTAGAGGGGAAAGAAATGCCGTGAGAGATTAAATGTAATCCAGATGAGCGGCTGGGAAGGTTTAATATCCGCAGCTATGTCCCCACCGCTTTTCCCTTCCTCCCCCCACCCCTCCCCAGCCACCGGTCTTCACTGTAATTTGGAGGCTGCTAGCTCCGAGCCGGGGACCCAGCAAGCCGCGGAACACTTTGCAAACACGTTCGGGAGCTTGAGCATCTCGGCAGCAGCGACCAGCTCTTGCCAGGCGACCCTTTCGCTGCCTCCCTCTAATTAGGTCTTCTCCATCCTAAAACACCCGAGGCGCCTTCTCGGGGTCTCACCCCCTTCCAAAACAGAGCAAAAAAAAAACCTTACCAAAACCAAAAATCCTCCGGAAGAAGAAAACGCCAACTGTACCCCGGAGAGACAACTTTAGATCTCTTGGGAGTTGTCTTTATTATTTACATTAATCAGTCCTTGCAGGGGTTTACCCTCCTAGCATTGAAAAGTTGGGTGAGCTCGTGGCTCGGGGAGCTGCTGGTGGGGCTGTGGGCAGGGTCCCCCCTCCGCAGAAGGCTCGGGGGGCTGCCCGGGGCGGTGGGAGATCGCTCTCTGCCCGTCCCGTCGCGTCCTGCCCATCCCGGCTGTCCCTCCGCGCTCCCGGGGAAGGCGCTGGGATCGGCTCCGGGACCCCCATGGGTCCCCTCCTCTTGGCCGCAGCCCCCCGAGGGCTCTCCCCGTCCTCTGCGAGCGTCCTGTGCCGCGGGGTCTGTGTCTCTGCGTGATCCCACCCGGCGTGGAGACCCCTCTATCCTCCTGCTTGGTAAAACAACTGCTGTCCTAATAAGTACCCGAATATTCCCGCTGACTTTTAGACCTCTTCCCCTCATTATTAACTTTTTTTCTTTTTTTTTTTTGAGGTTTCAAAATGAAACCAGTGTATCAGTAAAAACTGAATATTTTATTAGCCCCTAAATTATTCAGCACGGCGGCTTCTCAAAATCCGGTAGTATTCGCACAGTTGCAGTGAGCATGTGATAGCTTATGCAATATGTCCTTGTACCTGCAGTTTATTCCCCAAAGTCTTTTTTTTTTTTTTTTTTTTTTTTTTTTTTTTTGAGCAGAAGATAACTGTGTCTGCCACAAAACCTGGACTTGCCATAAGTGCTTTGCAATGGGCTTCCTTGGAACTTCTGATAGCTCATATCTGTGATGTTTTCTCATTAAAGTCTACAGTTCTGCCATGTTTTCAGGTAACTTCAGAGCAGAGAAAACTTAATAGGTTTTCTAGCAGAAGTGAAATAGGAAGGAAAAAAAATCCATTTGCTCTGTGATTGCTTAAGCTGTGATTGTTCAGTTAAAGGTTTGTCCTTGGCTGTCAAAAGGAAACAGAAGAAAATTATACTGAGTCTTTTTTTGAGCTGAAATGGAGCAAAATGCTGCTTGACAAGTCTGATATAGTGGGTTAATTTTGGTGGCTGTCATAACATTTACTTTTAATAGATCCTCTCAAAGTTACAATGACTCTAAGCACTGTGAGTAACCAAAACTCTTTCAAAAGCAGGTTTTGAACAGTGCAGAATTTGTCCCAAGACATTATAAGTCCATTCCCATAATAGTGTAGGATGAAAACCAGTGGAAGTGTCATCTGTGCAGTGGCTGGTTACCACCTGGCTCTCGGGGTAAATTCCAAGTTCAGATCAAAGTTAAGTCATATACTTCATCACTGACCTGCCTTTCAAGCCTACTGTTAAAGAAAAAGACCAACTGCTTTTTTTGGTGGAGCTGCAAAGTAATGGTGGAGGTCAAAATCCTGTTTATTCATGGTGTCTTAAAAACACCTTTTGCTTTTAGTGTTTGGAGCAAATATATAGTATGTCAGCAAGTTTGGGGTGGGGTTCTTTCTGTCTTTTTGATGATGTTGCTGTTGTTGATTTTAAGGGAGAGAGAAGGGTGAGAGAGATTGAAAGATAGTAATGGATGAAAAAGTCATCTCAATAGGAGACTGTAATTTTCTTCCTCCTGGCCAGTCTGATGAGTTTGCAATCTCATGCACTGTAACAGGAGCCTGTTCTTCAGAGATGTCTTCAAGGGTGCAGGGACTTCCAGCCCTTAGGTTGCAAGAAAGATGCAGGTGCATTTTTGATAAGCAATGCCCTTTTATACATATTTAAAAACAGCTATAAGCTTTTTCATTTGCTGCTGCTGCTGTTCCTTGGTGGAATTTGAATGCCAGGCACTCTGGTGCTTTACTGTGCGTGGACAGACAGTAACTTCACCAGGGATTACAGAGACTACTAGAGATTGTTTCAGGAGGAAGAAACACAGTGCATCCCACCTGTGGTAATACAGGTTCATGAGTACCACTGTGTCGGTTTTTTTAGGGTTTTTTTTGTCCAAAAAAAACCCCTAGCTTTACTAACTGTTAGCTTTACTAGCTTTATTAAGAGTCAGCGAAGACTGGGATCAGATGAAAGGAATGCATGATATAAAAGTGGTGGTTGTTTTGGTTCTGAGATGTACCTCTGGCCATGTTGTAAGCTGACCAACAGTAATGGGACTATAGGTGCACAGCAGATCAATGCATCCCACGCCTTCATGATAAACATTTTTGTGACAGGACCTTCTGAAAAAATTACCATTTGAGTTGTCTTTATAGTGAAGCTGCTGCTTGGGTAGTATCATGCTTCTCCACTTAGCTGTCTGCTGAGTATTTATGCGTGGTTTGCCTAAAAATTATATTGATATTGCTGAAAACAGGCAAATCTAATTCTCTATTTTATGACCATATCCTGTCAGCCTGAGTGAAAAGCTCTGGAACTTTGAAGGAAGTGTTTCAAAGATGTGGTTTTTTTTCTCCATTACAGTGGGAACCTTCACTCACTCTGAGGCTTAGAAGTTTCTATAAAGCCCCTTTCTGCAGCTGGAATCAGCTGCAAAGAGCAAAAGTGCTGAGAAACAAGAGAGGTAAACTGTAGCTTTGTTCTCATGTATCTATACTGAAAGGCTGAAAAGATCACAGAGGCTTTTAAAGACCAAGATTCCTCTGTTTTACTGAATGCCTTTGCATCTTTGGACAGCATCTGCTTCTGTACAAAGTGCTGACAGTGTGACCCTGCATAATGATTTTCACTGTTCTTTTAACAAATTACATTTGTATTCAAATTGATTTTCCATGACTGCTCGTATAGCCTCCAGAAAGCATATAGTGGATATACTGTTGTATTCTGTACGTGTCTGGTCAGCCTAGGACAAAATTTGATGTCAAGCCATGCATTATTATAACTGGAATTAATCGTTCTGGTAGTATTAGTTGGTTTTTTTCATGTGCCCCAGCCTCTAATTTCACTGTCCTTTATGTCCTTATCCTTTATGTCTCTTTTCAAAGGATATACTTCATACAAGGTTGTGTATCAATGGCACCACAGGGGAAAGGGTCACTGTCTTATCTTCCCTCCTCCACATTTTTTTCAATTACCACACAGTTGAAAATCCAGGAAGTTATCAATTTTGGAAGCTATTTCAAAAGACAGTAACTTTTAATTAAGATTTTTATACCTTAAATTAGCTGTTTATGCAGCGCATTCTCCTACAGCAACAAACTCACAGCCAGAAGCTCCTTCAGCCTAAGTGAAGATACCTGGGGAAGCTGTGTTTAAGAAACTGCAAGAATCAGAGAATAATCCCTGTTATTCCCAAATTTATTGTGAGTCACAACAGGCGTTGGCGTGTTACTGTTTTCATCTTAAGTCTCTTAAACATTTCAAACTTAGGTAAGCCAGGATTTCTGAAATCCTAAAGGATGGTGGGTGCTGTGTTACAAGTGAGATTAGAGGTGATGAAAAAATCCTTCCCTGGCAGGGTGGGCAGCCCTGGCACATCTGGGGCTGCCCCTGGATCCCTGGCAGTGCCCAAGGCCAGGCTGGACACTGGGGCTGGAGCAGCTGGGACAGTGGGAGGTGTCCCTGCCATGGCTGGAGTGGCACTGGATGGAATTTAAGGTCCCTCCCAACCCAAGCCATTTATGTGATTCTATGACACTGAGCATCTCTGCAGCATACCTGAACCCAGCTTGAGTTTGCATAATTGGGTTGAACATCAAATGGGTGCTGATTTAAGTTTCAGAAAAATTTTGCAGTCAAAATACAGTGAAATCTTAGTCAGATGATGAATGAGTCAGAAAATAAAAGATGAGTCAAAGGATTCAAGTCCAAAGAAGGGTTGTAAGAACATCAACATCTGCAAAATTAAAACTTCTGGAAATTATGTTTTTTATTGGAGCACCACAACACATTTTGCATTTAAAGTTCGGGAGACAACCTAGGGTAAAGGAAAATTCAGCCTAAATTCAGCGTGCTATGTCAGTCTGAGGAATAATGGGTCTAAGTTTCCCTTTTTATAGGAAACTCTGGTCTTATGTTCGAAGGGAGAGCAACTCACCATGAGTAGTGACAGCAGGGCATGGCTGACTTTCTAACAAGCTGTGTAGAGGGCAGAACAGCTTTTTTACCATTCATATTGCGGGAACAGAGCAAGGATCTGTCCAAACCCAATACCTGCAGCTTCGAGGTTTCATCAAATTTCAGTCTTGCTGGTGAGGGAATATACTTAACTTACTTGTGGGGTTTTTTATTCATTTGTTTGCGTGGCTTTTTCTTCCCTCTAATCAGCAAGCTGTGTTACCTTTCATCACAGTGGGGGTGTTCTTCTATTTTAAGTTCTGAAAGCTGAGAAATGAAGTAGACCATAATTATCTAATAAAGT